TAAAATGTATACAATATATATATATAAATATATATGTGTAAATATACATATATATTTTAGTTGTATATATATATATATGAACATTTTATTTGTATTTTAAGAAGAAATAAATAAATAAATGAAGAATAAATACAGTAAATACATGAACATCCCACCAAAATTCTTATTTTATTTTAAAATGTGCCTGTATTTCTACCAAAACGTTTTTGTTTTTTTTCAACTGCTAGTCCCTCAACATCGTTAGAAATCTGTTGTAAATCATCCACAGAATTTCGATATGTGCCTGCTTGATCGATACAGCCTAAAGTTGGATGCAGGTGTAATTACACAAAAAACGAAGCGAGCAAAGATTTTCCTAGATACAGAGGCAGTTTATGACAGATATGGAGCTTCACCCTGAAATCTTGCGCATATGTTTTTTTGTCCAGCTTTGTAAGATTTCTGGAGAAATTACGCACACATAAAGGTTCTTTAAAAAACTATTCACATCACCACATATTTGTATCTTTAGCCATCATTCTAGCAAAGAATTATGTCTGTAATTGCTAATTGGAAATGACTCTAAATCAAGTCATAAATCTAGACTCTGCGTCACACTGATATCATCATACTTGCACTACATGGTGAATGTTCAAACTAGAACTCAATTCAAATATTCTTTGCTACATTTTTGCACAATATCTAATTATTTTTGCACAGCTTTGAGCCTTCCACATCAATGCCTTTTTGCACCATGTCTCTTCCACAGTTTAAATGTTGATCACTGCAGCACTTTATTGTTCTTTTTCACTGCTAAGCTGCTGTTAAAAAAAAGTCACTGTGTAGACAAATTGACAATACAGTGTGTCTAAGTCTAAGTTTAAAATAATAGTATGGGTAAGAGAGATTATGTCCTGTGAACATGTTAATAAATTAATAAATGGCAACCTCCTGTAGAGTTTTTTGCAACCATGTAATCAAACCTCATCTCTTAGTTTTTTTCTAACTTATGTTGCTTTTTTAGCCTTTAGTTTTACTTGGTGTTTTCTTTTTTTTTTTTTTTTTTTTTTTTTGTTATTTATTTATATTTTCTAGTTATTGTTTCTTCGAAAAGAAAATGTAAAAGACTTAATGCTGTATTCAAAAGTTTGAGTGAGTGAGCTTGAGTGGGATGGATCACCTTTTGCGCTGTGTACGCGTAAAAAAATAACTGGATTAATCGTAAATAAATAAATAAATCCAATCCACTTTATTTATATAGCACAATTGCAATAAACACAAGGTTTCCAAAGTGCTGCACAAAAAAGATAAAATAAATAAAAGTAAATAAAATAAAAGCACTGCCCACACAGGATAAAAATATGCACGTGTATACATAAAATCAACATGTGTATACATAAAATCACAATAACATAGAGACTGAAATCAGGAAGAACTTCACTTCATGCCAGCAGGAGGCCAGTGCACCCTTTAACCACCCGGGCACGCAGACCAATGCACTGCATGCACACTCATGTACCGCAGAAGGAAATTATGTTAAATTTATCAACATCAAAAATCAGTAAAGATAAGTATCACGAAGACAGCTGGCATTTGTAAGACAGAAGAGGAAAAAAAAACAACAACAACAAAACCAAGAACAAAAACAAAACATTGTCATATAAAAATGACTTGTGGCTAATATGGGACTTTAAACTATAATAATCAAATCTTCCACTCTCAGGTTTTCTTTAGAACTATGAAAACAATATCAACAAAAACCTAATTAAGACCTCTTGAAAGTGAACTATATACCATGAAAGTGAAAAAAAACATGAAGGTTCTCTTCCCCTTTTTAAGGAACCACTTAATTTCCTATTTAAACATATATATGCTGGCAGAAACCCTGAAAAATAAACTTTTCTCCTTTTCATTTTAGATAACTGAGCCCTGCAATGCCCATTTAACAATTGCATGCCCAAAGGTATGCCAGAAAAACATCCAATAAAGTTGTCTAAACTGAGAGAGCGTATTTTTTATAGTTAAAATGTCAAAGCTGTTTGCCAGATCTGCAGATATGATTGGGAGAAAAAACTCAATGTTGCAATAACACACAGGAAGGAGAGAGAGAGAGAGAGAGAGAGAGAGAGAGAGAGAGAGAGAGAGAGAGAGATGTTAAAAGACCAAACAGGATCTCCCTCTCCTAGGTGCTGCTCCCCTTCTTTCACACTCAAGGAACATTGAAGAGGTATGTAACTAACCCTGTAATATTTTTAACAGCTTTTAATCAGCGTATTGTGAATCATCTTTAATTGGCACTAATCTAGATTCTAAAAAAAAAAAAAAAGAAAAACCTTACGAGCTTGTAATGAAAGCTACAATCAGCACTTTGGCAAACGCTTATTCTGCCTAAATGTAACGTGTTCATTAAAATGTGAATGGTTGCATATGGCTACACACACAGGTCTGGCTTGGATGCTGGTTCTTGCAGGACCCTCAGGCTACCTAAATGAACTAATTACAGATTCCTTTCAGCGTTGTCACTATTGTGGATACGCCTACTGTTTGCACATGTTTTTATTAATGGCTCATTATAGGGAGGAAAAAAAACATCATAAAGGGTCACATATTGATGATGCGGTACGGTTGTTTTCATGTAGTTTTTTTTTAACATTTGTTCTTGTTTAAAACAGAAAGGGGTGAGAAAAAAAAGGAAGTATGTGGTCGTCTGCCCTTTTCTTCATTTTAAACAGGCAACACATGTGCAATCTTGCTCCTTCTGTGTCTTTGCAACACTAAGGGATGGGTGTGTTTCTCCTCCTCCACAGCAGCTCGATGGCCGGTGAGAATGCGACACTGCCCGTTGGAAATTCCAGCAGCTCCTGGCAGACAGAGGCCTCCAGGGGAATCCAAATTGCTGTCACTCTGCTTATTTTCCTGGTAGGAAATCCTCGACCTTAATTTATGCATTATTTTCTTTAATATGCAGTGATAGTTTTGAATAAGAGGCTGCATGAGTATAAATGCCTGAGATTGGATATCCTGTTTCATTTTGGTTTAGGAAGTTTGTGTTAATCTGCTGATTATATTTGTTATCTTTATGATCAAAACCATTTAGTTGAAACTCAAAGAGCATTCCAGCTGTCTTGTGTTGCATAGAACTGTTAAATCTAAGTCTGTTTGGTTCCCAAAGGTGGGCGTGTGTCTGAATGGGTTGGTGGTCTGGGCTCTTGGACTACGGGGTCGCCGTCATCTGGTGCGCAGAGGCAGCACTGAGGAAACGCGTGCTGCCAACAGTTTCCGAGTCTACGTCCTGAACCTGGCCCTGGCTGACCTCATCTTGCTCCTGCGGACTCCTCTCATGGTGGGCTACCTACTAAATAATTTCAGCTGGCCATTTGGAAAGGCCGTCTGCCACCTGATAGTATTCATGAGAAGTCTGGGTCTCTATGGCTCAGCTTTCGTGCTTTGTGCTGTGGCTATGGAGCGTTGCTTGTGTCTGCTCAGGCCTGTGTGGGCTCGACTAAAACGGCCCTCCTGGGCGGTTCCACTGGTCTGTGGACTCATATGGCTTGTGGCCTTAATCTTTGCTGCTCCCTACATCTACTTTACTGAACTAAAGGGTGTTAATGGCACCCTTTGGCAGTGCCGGGAGAGCAGGGATTTCAATCTAGCATTATTTCTGACGGAAACAATAGCCGGCTTCTTGTTGCCCTTTATGGTATTCCTAGGTAGTAACTTGGCTGTTTTTCTCACCATCAATAAAGCCCTACCATCGACACCCACTGGCAATAACCCATCAATGGCGCGAAAGATGGCCAGGATGTACCATGTGCTCTTTGCCACCATGCTTCTTTTTCTCACCTGCTGGGTCCCCTACTTTGTCTGTCGCTTCATCCTTGCCCTGGCAGGCAAAGAGTCTTTTTTATACAAATCAGCAGGCTATGCATCATACATCTCGCTATATCTAGTTTATATCAAAAGCGCTCTTAATCCTGTGCTTTATGTGTTTGCTGCCAAAGGCCTCAGCCGTGCCATCAAAGCCTCACTTGTCTCCACAATAGATCGCCTCTTTAACGATGAATCCTATGAGTCCATACGAAGAAAGTCAATCAAGAACTCCCAGATGTAACTTGAGATGTCGAGAAGTGCTTTAACAGAACAGACATGGGAAGTGGTGTCCAGCTCTAGCAAGAGAAAAGGTGGTTAAACCCTTGACAGATATTCAGTAAAACACAAGGTAACATGTAGAACTCCCCAACAAGGCCAGCATAGAGTGTTTAATCAACCAGGCTAATGTTTTTGATTTGTTAAAAAGTAGAATACCTGGAAAGAAAAAAGGGAAAACCAGGATTGGAGCCCATGGCTTTTATAGCTAAGAACTCTCTTTTGTATGTCAACCATAGAACTCTCTGTCTATGGTTGACCTCCTTTATTTCTATAATCTATTGTTCTCTCTTTTCCTTCTTCATAGCGACATTAGTATTATGACTAAAATTAAAGGAATGAGTTACTGTAATGCACTTTAGGTCAATGATTTTTCAATGTGTATTTGCGAAAGAGAAATGTGTTTTAGGAATGTATAAAATGTGCTGTGATAATGTGTGTTTTTTAACTGTACTGCAAACTTATTTTGTAGCAGACATTTTTGCAGGGAGTTCATCTAAGTGTAGGATTGAACAATTTTCGTTCTTTCTTTTAAATAAAAAAGTATTGTCTGTGTATCTATTCAGTCTGCTCTCCATACCCAGTTTGGATGTTGAGTTTTCTTTTTTTTTATTTTCAAAAAACAATGTGAAAAAGATCAAATGTTGTAGTGATTGTTCAAGATATGCTTTATGAATGTATTACACTGGAGCAGCTAAGGTCTTTTCAGCTGTATGTATTAATGTTTTTATGCTTCAAAGGATCATATTGGATGCATTTTAGAATTCAAAATAAATAGTAAATGCAAAGTAAAGACCCTCTCTTGTTGCTGTTCTGAAGCTCACCAATTAAAGCTGGACTTTTCCCACACATTTAACCCCTAATGTGAACAGATATCATTCTTCCTCTTCTTCAGTGCAAGGCGAGCTAATCCAACTTCGCATTCATGTTGCGGATTTTATTACGGGTAAACACTGGGTAAAAATATAGCAGCCTTGCACAAGTTAAGGTGTTTAAGCAATTCATTTCATAACTCCATATTGCCAAAACATTTCCTTAAACTATCTCTTTTTCTGCAACTGCTTAATATATCTTTAGTAATTTTCCTACATATCAATATTTGATTGTGGTGAATGATTTTACCATAACGCCAGACTGAAAGAAACACCTGGTCAAAGATGCTCTACATAGATGTATTATACACATTTAAACTGAGAAGAAATTTAATCTGTTGAAAGTAGAAATATAAAACAGGTGCTAGAAGTCAGTTGGATGAGTATGCACACCTTTTAATACTTTCTTGGAGCACATTTTTATTTAGTTTCCCCATTCTTTCTATCTGCATCCCACATCTTGATAATGGTAATAGTTATTGGGTAAATGTTATCAACTGGAATTCCTTAGACAGAAAAATTTGAATTAATCTGACTGTATGATCTGGTGGACTGCAAAGTGCTTTGAGATTGCATTTGTTGTGAATTGGTTGGCTATATGAATAAACTGAATTGCAATTATTGCATCTGTATTATTTACTTATTTCCCCATAAACAGATTTGTTTACATAATATGCATCACAATAAAGGTGAAATAAGATTGGAAATGATTTATCATGGTCACATGTTTTAGTACATCACTAACAGCTAGTTTTAACAACATTGTGGAAGATGTTTTAATCTACGCCAGGTTTTATTTCCTATGTTCAAATTCTAGATTTTCAAGATCTTTCAAAAGCCTCCTCTTGGCTGTTTTTCAATTCAGGTTAGTATGAAACTAGATTTGCAGTAGCAGCTCCAATGCCCTAAATGACTGCTCTATTTTATATATATATATATATATATATATATATATATATATATATATATATATATATATATATAA